TGGGGCCTACCGCAAGGAAATGACCGCGGGAGACCCGGGACTGGCGCCAAAGGGCTTGGAAGGGCGGAGTTAAGAAAAATGGGCCGTACCTACAACTTCTTGCGCAGCCCTCGCTGGCCCGGGAGCCCAGTAACCGTTGCGTAAGCCACGCGCCACCCAGGTGGGCAGGGTAGTGACGCTAAAGCCCGGCTAGACTTCCGCGCAGGGGCGGGGCGGGGCGAGGGGGCGGCAGCGCGTTTAAGTGACGTCTTGGCCGCCCGCGCCGGCAGAGACCAGGGTTCTGGGGCTCCCGGGACTGTCTGGTGTGTTTTCTGTCTATTGAACCCTTTCCTTTTGACGTCTCTTCTGAATATTGACTCATCGGGTTGTAGAAATCCAGGGACAGAGTTGGTATCACTGGGCATTTTAGCCAAAAAGCAGTGCTCGGGACTGCATGTGCCATAAGTAAACTTGTCAAAACTCAGATTGTTTCCCCTAAAGTCAGCTTGAAGTGCAACGGTAAAAGAGCACGGTCTCTCCCCAAGACGGCCTGAGCTTAAACTGCAGCACTGTCACTTGCTAGCTATGGGACCTAGGCAAATACATCATCTCCCTGAGGTTGTCTTCTCATCTCTAAAGGACGCTGTGGTGGTGCAATGAGACACAGCAAGTGTCTGGAACAAAGACACTGTGTACAAAGTAAACAATATACTGTTATCAACATAAAACCTTTTTTGTTTGCTTTTTTCCCCCGCCTGAAATCTTATGTGGAAAGTTGTATGTGAAAGAAATGAAAGCAGAGCTGCGTTGATGGTGGACCCAGAAGCTTTGGCCTTTCAGTCCCAAAGTTTCCAGGAATATAATCCACGCTTCCTATAAAAGACAAAAACAACCATTATTGGAGAAAGTGCAAATTTCTTAGAAAGATAAACGGCCCATTCCTATCTAATGTTTCTCCTGACACTCAAAACAATGTTTACTCTTGAACACTGTATTCCTTTTTGACTCAGTGTGTTTTCTAACGTTAATTCCTCTACCGGAGTGTTCTTTTTCTTAGTCATCATCTAAGATCTGATTCAAATTACAGTTCCTTCTTGGGTAACTTAAATACGAAATTATCTTTTTATTGGTTTTGTTGTTGTTGTTGACACAGGGTCTCACTCTATTACCCCGGTCAGAGTGCGATCTAGGCTCCCTGCAGCCTCCGCCTCCTTGGTTCAAGTGATCCTCCTGCCTCCTGAGTAGGTGGGACTACAGGCGGGCGCCACCACCCCTGGCTAATTTTTTTATTTTTAGTAAAGAGGAGTTTCACATGTTGCCCAGGAGGCCTTGAACTCCTGGACTTAAGTGATCTGCCCGCCTTGGCTTGCCGCAGTGCTGGGATTACAAGCATGAGCCACCACATCCCTGCCCTTTTTATTGTTTTTAACACTTTCCCTCCTTCAACGTGATACACACATCTCAGCAAGGATTTAATTTTCTTCCTCATTTCAGGAGAGTAGACAGGGTTTCATGATTACAGGATTAAGGGAATGTTTTGTACTCATGAAATGTTTTGTACTCATAGGAAAAGCAGATAGATCCCTAAAGATAATGGGAGGTGGGACAAATGGTAGAGCTGGGAAGGAAGACCTTTGCTAGGAGTCTGTTTGCCTCCAGGGCACTACTCTTACGCTCTAGAAGGAATGGGCTCCTGGACAGGTAAGTGCTTTAAGGTCCATGTAAGGAAGATGGAGGGCACATCAACAAATGGAGTTTTGGAATTCTCAACAGGCCAGAGGGCTCAGGCTGGATTTGAGTCAGTCAACTATAAATATATTACATGCTCCCCAAATGCCATGAAGCAATTCCCACCTGTTACAGAGAGGTACATAAATGATTCATATAAAAATATAATGTTCTGAGACATTGACAAAATATAGTGGTTCATTGGGAGACAATATAATGAAAATTTACCAATAAAAAATTTAAATAATTATCTGATAACCTTTCTTATAAAAATTAATAGTATTTTAAAAATAAGTAAATTAATTATATTTGCAACAAGGCCATAGAAAGCAAAAGCTTTTGAGGAATAAGGAGAATCTTAACTGAGAGCAATTTTTTAAAACTATATTTGACATGATAAAAAAAGTTTTAAAACTTTCTACATAAATATTTTCATACTTCTGAAAGTACTTCAATAAAAATAAAAATTTGGCCAATGATCTATTTAGTATGATTTCAGTGCCAAACTTCTTTTCTAGTTTTATCTCTAATTCTCTTCATCAGTCTCAAGTGCTAATCACTTTCTATGCTCCAGGCTTTACTGTTTTCAAAACTTTGCTAATATGCCAGCCTCCCACATTAGTTGTTCCCATCTTCACCTTACTCCCTAATACTACCCCATCCGTCCAGATCCTCTCCATTCTTCAAGATCTAGTTCAAGTATTAGCTCCTCTAAGATTTCCTCAACTTCTACACTAAAAACACTTTTGAATTATTCACTTGGATTATAGCTATTTGTACATATCTTATTTCCTTCTAAGGTTCTTAAAGGCAAGTATTATGTTTCGTTCATATTTGTATTCCTCACAGGGTCAATTTTCCATTAGAATTCAAGTTCTATTGAAAACCAAGCCCTTGAATATCTTGTTCATCACTGTATTCCCTAGTATCTGGCACAAGACCTGGCACACAGTAGGCATGTTATAATATATTCTGAGTGAGGGAGTAAATGGATTTTAAAAACAGCTCCATGAAGGCAGGGATTTGTTTGTTTCATTCATTGCAAAATGAGTATCTGAATGTAAACATGAAGGCTTAGTATTCATTATATACAACAAAATTCTTTAATCTGCAGAGCATCATAAAAGTCAAATATGACGTATTTATGTTGCCTTTCACCCAACAAATTCAGTTGATATCTTTCTGAAAATACATCCCCCAAAACTGCAGTATAATTTTAAAGAATCAAAATAAAATAGATGTTGATATTAAAGTAGTTTCAGTTTTGTTTGTATTTTTCTGTGTTGTAACTTTTCTGCAATGAAAATGTGTTTTTATAATCAGAAAAAATAATCAATATTATTTTTAAAGAATGTAGTAGGTGAGATCATTTGCAAATGTATACCTGAGGAAATTTTGAGGACATCAAGGTCAATCAAGGTGATTGGGAATTAATACCACAGAGGAAAATACTGTCCTGGGAAATATGATACTTGTTTCAGGGACTGAATTATGTCCTTCCCCACAGATTTATATGTTGAAGCTCCAACTTCCAATGTGATGTATTAGGATATGAGGATTTGGGAGGGCAATTAGATTTGGGTGAGGTCATGAGGGTAGGGCCCTCATGATATGATCAGAGTACCCTTATAAGAAGAGACACCAGAGAGCTTGCTTGCTCTCTCTCGGCGTCATGTGATGACACAGTGAGAAGGTGGCCATTGGCAAGCCAGGAAGAGAGACTTCGCCAGAGCCCAACAATGCTGGCATCCTGATCTTGAACCTCCAACCTTTAATAGAAATAAGTTTCTGTTGTGTAAGCCACCCGGTGTATGGTATTTTGTTATAGCAGCCCAAGCTGACTAAGATAGACTAAGCAGACTAAGATCCAAACTGTTGTGTGGCAAGTAGCTTTCTGATATTGAGAGAGGATCCCCTTACTCTCAGATTTAGTCAGTAAATGTTTATTAAATGCCTATTGTGTTCCATGTCCTGTGAAAAATGCTGAGGATTCAAGGATAATTAAGAAAAGGTTCCTACCCATAGGGAGCTGGTTTAATAAGAGGCAAACATGTAAATAAACTTTAAAAAGTGTTATATGTGCTCTGACAGAAGTATGTATAAGGGGCCCAAAAGTTAGAGTAATTGTTTCTATCTGTGGTTTAAATGGGGATAGGTTGGGTTGGTCAGTACTCTATCAGGTTAACCGTAAGTTCACCAACCAAGTCAAGAGATGTGACTTTCCATGTGGCAACAAACCCTGGCCTTCACATGGTGAGCCCTGCTGAATGGTCAGCCTCTGTCATTCTTGACCTCACCAGCTCCATGATATATAACAGCAACATAGTCTTATAGCAATTAATAAATTCCTACAAAGAGCTTCTAGGAATAGGCACAAATTTCAGAGATCCAATAGAGGAAGTCAAAAGGCCAGCACTGGGCAGTCACAGAGATTTAGATGGTGGCTACCTTCTTAGAGGTAGAAAAGAGCTTGCTGCATGACCTGCAAAATGAAACAGGTATTGGCAGTGGCTGTTTGAGGTGTCCTTCAATCATTTCTATACTCTGTGGACTTCCATTTCTAATTTTCCTAGGGGCCCTAAACATATTCAACAGCATTCTCATTTAGTAATAGTAACTGTATTTTGTATAAGTTAATAAATATTCCAAGCCTGTTACTTGGAGAAAATGCCACTGATGACCTGGGAAACAGCATGAAGTGTAACACTTTTTGGTCTCACATCTGTTTTGCTGGCTAAGTCCTAATCATCCCTCAGCCAATACCCTACTTTCTCTAGGAAGCTGTGCCTAAACTCCACCACCCTTGGTTTGATTGAATGCTCCTGCCACAAGATCCCTAGCACCCCTGTAGTTCCTGCATAATAGCACTTATCATATTGTTTTGCATTCTTTTGTTTAATTGTCTGTCATCTCTATTGGACTGTTAAATCCTTAAGGACAGGGACAAAATTATTCTTGATGATGTGCCTCGATCTCAAAAGCTTTCAGTAAGTATTTTTTGGATGCATCTACTTTTAAAGCCAGGAAAAATAGAGGACCAGATGATTATTAAGTTTATGGTGCTTCCAGCAAAGTGCACTTAACCAATGAAGTTCAGTTCAAAACACTTATCTGACCTCTGGTATAAATTAATCAAGTCCAAACCAAGAGCATAAACATTAAAGGAATACAGCACCATAGGTAACCAAAGTCAAGCTGACATAAAATTAAAGGCTATTTAGGAGAAGTGAATATTAAACTAGTTTTGAATAGAGGTGAAAGTCATGGTGGATAGGGCTCAAACAGAAGTCTAATGAAGAGAGGAATGGACGGGCTTTATTTACGCAGATCAAGTTGGTGGGATTAGGATATTCATAATTCATTAATCTAATACATATTTAATATCTGCTTCAAAATTAAAATGAACTTTGAATTCCAGGTCGAGGAGTTTAGATAGGATATGACAAGTATATAATAAACACTTCAGGTACACAGATAACATGATAAAAACTGTAAACTGTATGTGAATGTGATTATTTCAGTAACTACACAGAAGATGACCTAGAGTGAAGAGGAACTTAACAAGTGATGCACAAAAGCAGAGATGGCCTGTTACAAAGTAGGATAAAATATGACCTATGCAGGTAAGTCTTTCTTCTAATATTTTCTCTCCTGGCAAGTCACAATTTCTGAAATTACTGCCACAGAAGTCACTCTTTTGGTTTAAGGCAATGTCTTTCAAAAGCTTTTGTTTGCATGTAAGAATATGCTACTAAGCGATGGTAACATCCAACACAGTGGAAACTCTGGCCCCGAAAATCTGATGTTCTGTTCCTCCTAGGGGTATGAATGCTTACCTAGAGACAACACTTAGTTGCCTCACAGCTGGATATGATCATTACCAATAAATGTAGGAGAAGAGATGTGTCCAACTTCCACATCCCTTCCTCAAAAATACATTGCTATACTTGCATTTTTCTTGATAGAATGGAGACATGTCCTAAGCTAGGACATGGCAGAGCTTCAGGACAGAAAGACATGGGACTCTGAGCAGACGTCATGAGCAGAGTAACCCTGTTAGTATTAACCAACCAGCCAGTTTCATTAGTGGGAAATAGAATTCTATTTTCTTTTAAGCAATGTATTTTTTGTTTCTTCATTATAGCACATTACCCTAATGTAATATTCATGAGACTGGCATAGATTTGAAACTTACCTATCTCCCAACTAGAAATGGGAAGAGCCTAAAGATATGGGTCATAAGAAACAAATGAAAAAAGGGCTGGATTAGGGCACTCCTTACAGGAAGGTAGACTCACATGGGCGGCTGAAATAAAGGAATCTGCGTGGTCAGCTAGGGGGCAGGATAAAGTTTTTTGACATCTGGAGGGGGCAAGAGGATGAACCAATGAAGATACTTCATGTACTTTAAAATTTTAGTGGGACCAATCAGTTACAGTAATTTAAAGAAAGATAGTAAGGGAAGGAGAAATGGAGAAAAGGCAGATTATCAGGGAAACGAGGGTAGAAATTCATGAGCAACTGCATTATGATGTTTAACAACAAAAACAAAAACAAAAAAGAGGAGCCAAAACCAATTCAAAGCATCAGAGCCTGGGCAAATATGAATCAGGAAACTGTGAAAGGTAAAAGTTAGAGCAATCCTAGCTGAAGAGGATACTGAAGCTGGTCTTTCCCATGTTAACTGTAAACTGTGGTAGTACATTAAAGTAGATATGTCCTTATGCAAATTAAGATGGATGATGAAGGGGTGTTTGAAAAAAAAGGTAGCGAGATTAAGGTTGGTGATATAGATCATTACCACCCACATGGAAAGAGCAAGGGCTAAAAATGCTGTTTAAAGAAATAGCTACACTTCTGGTTCTATTACATTTTAAGCTTAAACATTACATATTTCAATGTGCATCTCGAAAAAAGTAGCAGCTTTCTGATCATTATGCTCAGCACTCTCTCTTTTCACCTCTAAACTTGCACAGAAGTCTCTCCTTGAACTTCTTCATCTTTATTTTGATGTTCAACTTTCTGCAAAAGCCTGGGGCCCAGTAAACCAATAAGCAGACTTCCAATTGGAGCTGTGATAAGGATGGACAAAAATGCCACTGTCAACACATCCATTCCGTAGTCTTCTAATTGTTTCTCTCCATGCGACCTTGCTGTGTCCAAAGCCACAGATCCTATTGCAGCCTATAAAAGTTTAAGGGTAAAGATGGAATCATGATAAGACAAGCACATATAAAAAATGAATTTTTTTATTGTTTGCAAAAGCAAATTGCTTGGTTTTTTGCTCAACTAAGAAAGTTCTTTTAGTCTTCTTTCAAAGTGTATTGCAGGTTTTTTTTTGTTTTGGTTTTTTACTTTTTTAGAGACAGGGTCTCGCTGTGTTGCCCAGACTGGTCTTGAACTCCTGGCCTCAAGTGATCCTCCCTCCTAAGCCTCCCAAAGTGCTGGGATTACAGGTGTAAGTCACTGTGCCCAGCTCAGCTTGGTTCTGATGATTTAAAAACTCTCTCTGCCCTTGTGTGGGAACATACTGATGACTCATTTGTACCTATCTGTGTAAGGTAGGGTTACATAAATATCAGTAAAATACATTTCAAAACACAAAGCAAATCCAGACTCACAATATTAATTAAATATAACATAAAGTTCTATGTACTAAATTTTTCCTGAATAAAAATGAAAATTATTGGTCATCTCCTTTTATCTTTAGGAATCTGGAACTAAAAAATAAGATGAAAAACATGCAGTGATACCTACTGAAAACTGTTAAATTTTAAATAAATATATATTACTTTAGAGCTTAAACTCATTGTCAAACATCATGAAACATGAAAATAGTGGACACCTTGACAACTTGAAGCTGATTTTATTAGGTATTTGGTCAACTCTTTGCCTCACAAGTTGGTGAAATATTTTATTTGGAATGTATCTATTGGAAAGTATTATGAAAATTCTCGGTTTCTTGTAGAGGTAAAAATGCAATATTATCAGTGCAGATGGGAAAAATGTATTAATTAATCTGGTTTTCCCTTATTCCACAGAGAACAATGTAAGCCTCTAAGACGATGAAAAAGAAAAGTGTGCATCTGACACAATGGCAGAAACTACTAATTGCTCACTAAAACCTGAATGCCCCCTTTCCCTTCTACAATAGAACTCCTGAAGTTTGGTTGGTCACATTGCTGTCCAGAGACCTTTTTATAGAACTCTTAGCCATTATGTTTCAGACATTTTTGAAAGTCTGATGGGGTGGGGGAAATTCTGGAGTAATGCCCAAATGCAAAGAGCATATAATTGAAATCTGGAATATAATTACTGAGCATACACGTCCCCCAAAGCCTCCTAAGTGAAAAACCTTGATTTTAATTCCTTAATAACAGAAATTTGAATATTTAATTATAAAATAATCTGGGACAAAACAGTTAAATGTTGTTTGATGTAATTAGTCTGAAAATATACAACCAAAGATACATCACATTTGCAACAAATCATAATCTATATAGTTCTAACTTAATTAGCAATCATAGGTATTCTAACAAATGCATGGTCAACAAATTCAAGCACCTATCTATAATAGCTTTATTTATCACATGTTTATTAGAATGCACAAATTTTTGGTTAAGTGAATGAGACATTTGCCAGGAAGTTCAGTGAGTTTTGAATAATTAATATCAACTAATAATCTAGGAAATCAATAAACTACTTTCTAGGTTGTTTTTCAATAAATCTTTTCTCCATTACATACAAAGACTCTGGTCAAGCTCAACTGATCATCAATCATATTAACATTAAAATATCTCCAAACATTAAGGGGGCCATGTTATATCTATTTTATTCTTTTCTTGGAAGCTATTAACATGAAAAGAGTTAACAACTCTTTCCTTGGGTGACTTAGAGAGTGCTGACTGATGAAATTGAAACTCTTCTCTCCTGTTACTACTGCTTTCTAGTAGAATAGGGATTTACTGGATTTTTACTTGTACCCTGGTGATCTAAGGAAATTTAATGAGCTATCACATTTAAGGAATGAATATACCAAAAATACAGGTTTTAAAGAATAGATTAGGATAAACTTTTCACACATCCACTTCAATTATTTATTTTCACTAAATTTAAACAAGCTCTCTGATTCAATATTTCAAGGTGTCATGCAGAAATAGCAGTTAAAATACTAAGCCATCCTATCCATCATACCTGAACTGTGGCCTTTGGAAGCCATGCAAAAGAAATAAATATCTTTTCTTTTAAGTTAAAACCAGCAAAACACACCATCAGAAATGTAGTCAAAATTCGTATCAATACTGCAATGCCTACGGTGGCAACACAAAGGCCTGTAAGAAATATTCAATTTTTAGAAATAATAAAATACTAGGAGAGAAACTGTATCTCGTGGTAACTAATTCAAAATAACCATCAACAGAAATAATTTTTAAAGCATTAAAAAATTACAAATACAAAAATGTTTAGGCAGAATATATAAAAACAATTAATATTAAGGATCAATCAGGCTATTTGTTTAAAATAAGGTGTTTCCTTAGATTAAAACCAGAAATTAAGCATATTTGAATTCTTATATGGAAGATTTGAATGTTATATATGTATTATGCTTTATAGCAAGAACCATGCTTTTTCATGTGTGTAAGAAGAATTTATTAAATGATATGATTAAATGATAAGTAATAAGCTTTAAACTAAGTACTGGGTACACATAAATGTACAATATATAGACTTTGCCTCAAAGTCAGAGGAAGACAGAAACATAAACAACTAATTCGTAGATTATACAGGAAGTGAGGTATAAACAAACTGAGGGTATAAAAGAGGGAAAAGTAATATTTTCACCCAAAAAGTCAATAATTCTTTACAGGGTATAAGACCAGAAGTGATATCCAAAGTGTTTATGAGCCAGTATGGAGGGAATTAGCCAATCAGAGCTGGCTGGGCACTGACCAATCAAAACAGACACTGGCAGTCTACCACTGTTTCACCATACTGATGTGTAATGGTCGTACTGGTCCCATTTATCCCTGGTTAACATATACAGCTACTCCATGTAGTCCTGTAGAACTCTGTTGATAAAGACAAGTTCATCACCATTTGCCAAACAAGGGATTGTGACTAGTGCTGCTGCATGCTACTGGACCTAAGAATGGTACAGCCAAGATGACTCCTGAGTATTAGCGTGATTTTTTAAAAAAGTAACATTTGTTGAGTGTTTACTCTGTGCCAAGTGCTGTACTAAGCTTTAAATGTATTATTTTACTTAGTCCTTACAACCTGTGGGATAAGTATTATTTTATAGTTGAAAAAACCAGAAACTCAGAAAGGATAAGCACTTTTCTCAAATTCAAAGGGTTGATAAAACATCAGATAGACATAGCGGGAGGATCCGTTGTAAATCTGCCAGATGGCTTTTTTATGGGAAAGTTCTGTGGTTCTTTGTTGAAAGGTATTTCTTCAAGGTTGGAACGTATTCAAAAATATCTGTAGCCTGAAGTACAAGATAAAGAGTTGATACTATTCCCAGAAGGAAACATTGAAAGTTTGAGAAGAGGATGAGAAGGAAGTTTTACTTGAGTTTGAAGTTTAACAAGACATACAAGTGGTGCTGTCCAATCAACAACTGGATATATTGATTTAGAGATAAATAGTTTGGAATTATACAGTTTACAGTTGATGTCACTAGTATAGATGAGGTTAGAGAAGTGATATAGAGCCAGAGGCACAGAAGGCCTTGGAAAGAACTTTGATAAAGGGCAGCGTTTAAGCTACATGTGGTGTAAGGAAAGGCTCAAACAGCCCTGGGAAATAAGAAGTTTAAGAACTTAATATAAAGAAGTGTTAGAGGGTCAAAAACAGCAAATGCTGTTGAAAGATCAAGTAAAGCAAAGACTGGATTTAGCAATATTACCTTGGTGAGAGCTTGGCAGGTTGTGTGATAGGCAGAAGCTGCGCTAAAATGTATAGAAGGAAATGGGAACTGAAGTGGAAAGGGGAATGTAGTGACCTATTTTGAAAAGTCTGAAAAGAAGATGAGAGAGGTAGCATGGTAGAGATGGGGGAAAGTGAAATAGAGAAATTATATATATATATTTATATATATATAAGTTTAACATATTATTTTAATACACATTATTTTAATTGTAGTAAAATACACACAACATTCACCATCTTAATGATTTTTATGTGTATAGTTAGTATCATTAAGTATATTCACATTATTATGCAACCAATCTCCAGAATTTTTTCATCTTGCAGAATTTAAACTCTATACCCATTAAACAACAACTATCCATTTTCCTCTACTCCCAGCCCCTGGCAAGTACCATTTATGAGTTTGACTACTCTGGACACCTCATGTAAGTGGAATCATACAGAGTTAGTCTTTTTGTGACTGGCTTATTTCACTTAGCATAATGTTCTCAAGGTTCATCCATGTTGCAGCATGTGTCAGAAGAGAAGCATTTTTTTTTAAAGGTAAGAGAGATTGGAGACTAAATTCTGAAGAGAAGAAAATTGTGATATGGATATTTACGATGTATGAGAAAAGGAAAGAATCCATAAAGAAGATTCGGAAGGAGGTAGCCAGAGATGGGATTCCTAGTATGGATGGAAGAATACTGTGATGGAAGGAAAGGAAGAAATAATGAGTACATGTATGCAAATTAATTTTTAAGTGCAGTGTTTTGAATCAAGAGAGTTTTAATATGATGGCTTTTGAATGTATGAATAAATAAAATAATTAATGAACAACCAGGCATTTCTATCCCATGGGTACAAACTATAGAACTAAATAGTTGTCTTTAAAATGCTCACTCTTGTTCAGGACAAGGCTAGATGAATATTCTTACCCTTGGAAAAAGAATTGTAAGGCCTGAATTTTCTGGGTAGTGGTCAGCAGTGTCACTTTTATATACAAGGAACAATATTAAATGTGTAAAATATACTGTCTTAGATGAACAAGCATTATTTTCTAACCAACTACTCTAAAAAACTTAGATCATAATTAACTTTTTATATAATTTTGACAATAGGAACCACTGTACACATACCAACTGGAGATATTTCAACTGAATATATAAAGTAGATTTTATTGGTAAGTAGGTTGACCAAAAAAGGTGAATTTTAACAAAATACACTTTTAAATTCTTACCTACAGTTTCTGGTCTGAGAGACGCAATAGATACCTCTGCTCCAATTAGTCCAAAAAGAAGGGGTTGAAAAATGTCCCAGGCAACTGCAATTATCTTTTCAACCTCTGCCTAAAAGAACAACAAAACACACACAGATTTTTATTATGTGAAGTTACAAATGCAAAGAATTTTATTAATTTGAGGTTTGAATTATTTGGCCTGAGATAAGCTTTATTTCTGTGCCATCTATAACTAAAAGGTTAGCTAGAACAGAGCAAAAAAATTGCATGAAGATCTTTCTAATACAGTTAAGATACATTAGGTGTTTTGGCATACTAAATATTAGTTTGCACATGGATGTTAATAAAAAGATTCTTATAATCTTATGAGGACTCCTACTTCTGAATACATCGTGTGTGTGTGTGTGCATGTGTGTATACATATTATAATATATAGTAGTGTTTTGTAGTTTAAAATTTTATGTCACCTTTCCTTCAACAATATGATTCACAGAGCTTGCAATATTGGTACATATATGTAGATACGCCCCTATTACTGCTGCATAGTAATATACAGTATGGAAGTACCATAGTTTATTCAATCATTTCTTTATTGACAGATCTTTAAATTGTTTCCAGCTTTATCTGTACAAAAGAACACTGTTTAAGATTATCTCAAATCATGCACAAGAGTAAAATCCAGGTTTACTAAAGTGATTATCAGTGCAATTTATCACTTTATTACCCATTATCTCCAATTCCTCTTTCACTGTTGCTCCACAGAATATGCAGCTGGACCTTTAAAATATTTTTCCTTTGCCAGGTAGCACCATGTTAAACTTTGTCAGTAGAGTGTGCTAAAGAGATATTGCATGCTGAAGGTGCTTTTCTTCCTGGTTTCTATGGCTCTTCCTAGCAAGATCTTATAGCATGTACTGGTGGCTTTAGCTCTAGGTTCCTGCATCCCAGGTGGCTTTTCCAGTATCAGGGTCCTACAGTTCATGCAGCCAGCAGCACCTAGTGGCCATTAGGTTCCCTAGCATACTCCTGGGGCAGTTTCATAGCAGATTCTCTTGATCAAGATAGCTCCCCATGCACCCTAGGGGATGGATCTCCTGCAAATTGGGAAGGTAGATTTTCAGCAAATTCTGCAAGCACAGCACCACAGCGACTTCTCTAGGCTCTGACAAAGTCTGGATCTCAGCCCTGTAGGCAGGAATGAGGAGGGGACAGGCTTAAGGGGATGATCTATTATAGCCATAGGCATAGCTATTCCTATATTCTTTAAGGATGTCTTCACATCCTACTAGCCAATATCTTGTTACTCGAATCCCTGGTTTGGTTAATAATCAACTTTCCCTATTGCAGTTACTATGTGATTTCTCTTTCCTCATGGGACTCTAATTGATACAAGAACTAACTTTGTAACACATAATGGGAAAGACTCTAGGAAAACAGTGACACAACTGACTAGAGTAAAATTAAAATGTGTTGTGGAGAAAGAAGACATAAACCAAAAAAGTGCAAACTAGAAGAAAATATCTGTACCATGTATAACAGAATAAGAAACATTAGCCACTCAATAAAAAAAGACATAGACCGTAATAGAAAAATAGGCAATGAACCCAGAGACAACATCATCATACTGAATAGGCAAAAGGGGGAAGCATTCCTTTTGAGAACCAGAATAAGACAAGGATGCCCACTTTCACCACTCCTATTTAACCGGAGTACTGGAAGTCCTAGCAAGAGCAATCAGGCAAGAGAAAGAAATAAAAGGCATACAATTAGGAAGAGAGGAAGTCAAACTATTTCTGTTCACAGATTATACTATACCCAGAAATACTATATCAAGAATAATATAGAGATGCTATACCTAGAAAACTTCATAGTCTCTGACCAGAGGCTTCTAGATCTTATAAACAACTTCAGCAAAGTTTTAGGATAAAAAAAAATCAATGCACAAAAATCAGTATTTGTATACACCAATAACATACAAGCTGAGAGCCAAATCAAGAACGTGATCTCATTCACAATTGCCACAAGAAGAACAAACTATCTAGGAATACAGCTAACCAGGGAGGTAAAATATCTCTGCAATGAGAATTACAAAACACGGCCGAAAGAAATCAGAAACGACACAAATGGAAAAACATACCATGCTCATGGATAGGAAGAATCAATATTGTTAAAATGGTCATATTGTCCAAGGCTATTTACATATTCAATGATATTCCTATCAAACAACCAATGACATTTTTCACAGAATTAGAAACAAAAATTCTAAAATTCATTTGGAATCAAAAAAGAGCACGAATAGCCAAGGCAATACTAAGCAAAAAGAGCAAATCCAGGGACATCACACTACCCAACTTCAAACTATAACACAAGGCTACAGTAACTAAAACAGATGGTACTAGTACAAAAACGGACACATAGACCAATAGAACAGGCTAGATAATCCAGAAACAAAACTGCACACCTACAACCATGTGATCTTTGATAAAGGTGACAAAAACAAGCAACTGGTAAAGGACCCCCTATTCAATAAAATGTGCTGGGATAACTGGCTAACCATATGCAGAAGACTGATGCTGGACCCCTTCCTTACACCGTATATAAAAATCAATTTAAGATGAATGAAAGACTTCAGTGTAAAACCGAAAACTACAAAGCCCCTAGAAGATCCAGGAAATACCATTTTGGACACTGGCCCAGGCAAAGACTTCAAGATGAAGACTCCAAAAGCAATTGTGACAAAATAAAAAATGACAAGTGGGACCTTATTAAACTAAAGAGCTCTGCACAACAGAAGATACTACCCATGGAGTAAACAGATAACCTTTAGAACAGGAGAAAATATCTGCAAACCATGCATCTGACAACGGTCTAATGTCCAGAATGTTTAAGAAACTCAAACAAATCAACAAGCAAAAAACAACTCCATTAAAAAATGGGCAAAGCACATGAACAGACACTTCTCAAAAGGAGACATACATATAGCAAACAAGCATATAAAAATGCTCAACATCACTAATCACTGGGGAAATGCAAATCAAAACCGAAATGAGACACCATCTCTCATCAGTCAGGATGGCTATTTTTTTAATATTTAAAATTAACCACAATATCTGAGCTTTTGGAAGTAAACTGGGTGACCAAATGTCAAAGGAAACATAACTGTACATCTTTTGATACTTTTTAATTTTTTGCAAAATTTATTTCAAATTCAGGGACACATGTGCAGGTTTGTTACATAGGTAAACTTGTGTCATGGGAATCTGTTGTACAGATTATTTCATCATTCCAGTATTAAGCCTATTAGTTATATTTTTCCTGATCCTATTCCTCCCACCCTCCACCCTACAATATGCCCCAGTGTGTGTTGCTCTCCTCTACATGTTCATGTGTTCTCATCATTTAGCTCCCACTTATAAGTGAAAACGTGGTATTTGGTTTTCTGTTTCTGTGTTAGTTTGCTAAGGATAATGGCCAGCCACTCCATCTATGTCCCTGAAAAGGACATGATCTTCTTTTTCATGGCTGCATAGTATTCGATGGGGTATATATACCACATTTTCTTTATTCAATGTATCATTAATGGGCATTTATGTTGATTTCATGTCTTTGCTATTGTGAATAGTGTTGCAATGAACATACTCATGCTTGTGTGGTTATAATAGAATGATTTATATTCCTTTGGGTATATACCCTGTAATAAGATTGCTGAGTCAAATGCATTTCTGTCTTTGGGTGTTTGAGGAATCACCACACTGTCTTCCACAATGGTTGAATTAATTTACACTTCCACCAACAGAATGGCTATTATTAAGTAAAAAAATAACAGATGATGGTGAGGTTGTGGAGAAAAGGGAATGCTGATACACTGCTAGTGGGAATGTAAGTTAGTTCAGCCAATGTGGAAAGCAGTCTGGAGATTTCTCAAATAAACAGAACGACCATTTGACACAGCCATTCCATTATTGCTTATATACCCAAAGGAACAGAAATCATCCTACCATTAAGACACATGCACGTGTATGTTCATTAAAGTGCTATTCACAATAGCAAAGACATGGAATCAACCTACATGCCCATCAACAGTAGAGAGATAAATAAAATGTGGTACAGATACATCATTGAATACTACGCAGATATAAAAAATGAAAAAAGCTGGAGGCATCACACTACTTGAATTCAAACTATACTACAAGGCTACAGTAACTAAAACAGTAATGGTACTGGTACTAAGACAGACACATTGACCAAAAGAACAGGCTAGAGAACCCAGAAATAAAGCTGCACCCTTACAATCATCTGATATGTCACAAAGCCAACAAGAACAAGCAATGTGGCAAGGACTCATATACACTATGTACATATATACCATGGAATACCATGCAGTCATAAAAAAACAATGAAATCATGTCCTTTGCAGTGACATCAATGGAGCTGGAGGCCATAATCCTAAGCTAATTAATGCAGGAACAGAAAATCAAATACCACGGTTATCACTTATAAGTTGGAGCTAAACAATGAGTCCACAGGGACACAAAGAAGGGCCTGATAAACACTAGGGCCTATTTTAAAGTGGAGGGTGGCAGGAGGGTGAGGATTGAAAAAGTACCTATCAAATAGTATGCTGATTGCCTGGGTGACAAAATTATCTGTACTCCAAGCCCTTGTGACACACCATTTATCCATGTAACAAACCTGCACATGTACCCCTTGAAACTAAAATAAAAGCCGAAAAGAAAAAAAAAAAAAGAAAAATGGGCAAAACATATGCACAACTAATTCACAGAAGAAGAGCTACAAATAGTCACAAAATCTAAGACACTAAAACTGAGTAATCATGAAACACAAATTAAATTGATATGCCTTTTTTATTTTTTTCAAGGGGGAACACCACGTTGGAAAAATACTAAAACGTTTTAATAATGAAAAGTATTCATTGACTTTGTAAGGAAACTCACCACTTGACAGGACAGCAAATTGATAATGCTTTTTTGGAGGGCAATTGAGCAATACTTGTTATACTGCCTAAGAATTTACATAGAACAGATTTTCTCATAACTAAAAAGAAGCTATATTTTTGGACAACATTTCAATGCTTATAATTACACAATT